GTGATCTTTGATGAGAGAAAAGCAGGGGAATGGAAATATGTTTTGATCCTTCTAGAGCTTTCCATAGGCTTGGATACACAAGTATGTGGAGTATCTTGAGCACAGAGATTGGTGGCATAACACTTGGGGTCTTAACATGGTGCCAATGTGCCCACAGAGAGTTTTCAAGGCCCACCAGACATCCCAACTGTTCACAGTGCAAACAATTAAAAAGAAATGAGAAAGCTGGCATCCTACAAAGTGTCAGCTTCTAACATCATCCCAAGTTTGGGACTCCTGAATGACATCTCCCTGGATATTAAATTTCAGGAGACAGACCTAGAAAAGTCTGACCTAAAAACTCTCTTTGCTCCTGGATTGCTAGGTTGTAGCTATGACATAGTTATCAGTTTAGGCTCAAATACTGGTTATACCCACTGAGGGAGAAAGATTACATGGCCGCTGTCACTCAGAACTAGGCAACCCGTGACCCACTGGGTCACCCTTCTGGAGATACTTCCTTACATAAGAGAAAAACAGAATGACCATGGGCGGGCAAAAAAGCATTGGGAGTGGGAGCAACTTCCAACTTCCTGCCAGCTTCCCCATTCACTTTGCTTGTGGGAAGCTGGCAGGGAATGTGAGAAATCACTCCTCCTCCTCAGCTGATCCACGGAACTGTCTGCTATTTTGCTGGGGGGAGGGGGAGCAAAGGGAGCAGCAGACCACAAAGAAAACTGCACCCTGCTTCCCATCCTGGCATGTCCTCAGGGGCCCCCTCCCTCCAGGGAGGAAGAGGGCTCACCTGTCAAGTGCCAGTGCTTCCAGCCAGTCCTACCCTAAGTATGAGTTGCTGGAAAATGGGGGAAAAAAAGGCAAAAAACAAAAACATGACTTTTAAAATGTATATTCCTCTATGCTCTGTTCATTTTATTGTTTCATGTTGCTGTTTTCTAAAATTCCAGTTGAGCCCCTTAACTGAGCCCACTTATGATTTCTTTGCTGCATGAATAAATAGAATTCAACAAATAGTTACTTTAAATAACTAGGAAAATGATAAAGAAATGTGCCTCCTAAGTGACCTCCCATAAGCCCCCCAGACCCCACCCCGGCTTTGGAAAGATGGTGCTGCTTAGTGTAACTCTGCTAGATTATGCTATGCAGAGTTGATTTCCAAAGATAAAATGGATTCCTGTCCAATCCTATGCATTCCAAGGTATGTGGTTAGAGCATTGGAAGAAAATCCCACTGAACTTAATGGGTCTTTTAAAAGACCAGTCTGCATAGGATTTCACTTGAACTAGTTACAATGCCATCAAATATAAACATCAAGGGTATTTTATTATTACATCAAGTGAAAATCTTTACTAAATGCAAGAAAGGTTGCAAAGGTATTTACCTAGGTGTATGTTCCATTTAATTCAATGAGTATTACTTTTGTGGTCTTTAAATTATGTGATATTAATTCATTGCCTATCATAATTTATTGGTAGTATATTTTAATACAATAATCAATTTTCAGAATATCTATTCACTCTCAAGAATTATGGGAGTAAATGTGAAATTAAATTTATTTTCTATTGGCATAAGGCTGTTTTTATATAGATCAAATTTATTTATTTTTCTTAAAAATATTAGTATGTTTATAAATTCATGTTTGTTTAGCTAAGATGTAAGATACAGAACACTGAAATTGATTTTTAAAAGCCTTTACCTGGTTAAGAAAGAAAATCAATTTTCTTCCTGGTTCCCTTGTTAATGACAATCTTTATGATAAAGAGATTTCAATCAATCAATCAATCAGCCATTTGACACAAAGGGGCTTACTTCCACATTTGCATCTATAAGATTGCACTGTAAATCTGTAACTTACTTGGCAGCAAGTCCCATTAAAGTAGGTAAACATGATCCAAGTAAAAACAATGGAATCAGTTATCACTATTACTGTATATAGCAATTACAATTTTACCCAGATTTGATGTGCTAATCTTAGGGTTTGACAGGACAAGTGCTAATCTCAATCTATCCATTTTTTCACTCTCTCCAGAAAAGAAAAATAATACTTTAAATTATATATACATAAATAAATGATTCATGAAATTGCATCACAGGAACATTTGGATTTTAACAAGCTTGAGGTTTAGAAAAAGATCTTCAAATAATGGACCTTTTTGGTCCATGTCAGGGCACATTTTCTACACATTTCCAAACTTTGTACAATTATTTTACTTGCATTCCTGCCAGCTAATGAAGAAATCTTAGTCAACTCATCATGATTTTGAAGCAATTCCTTAACTATTATATTCCATCCATGCTGCCTTGAACTGTTGAATGAAAGGTGGAATATAAAAATAATATGAAATGGATGGATGGAATATAATAATTTTTATATTCCACCTTTCATTCAACAGCAAAAGGCAGCATGCCTGATGCTCCCTCCTCCTATTTTTCCCAACAGGTAGCTTATGAGGTAGGTCAGACTGAGAGAGTATGAGTCACCAAGGGAGTTTCTATGGTTGTGCGTGGACGAGAACCCCCATGTCATCACTCCCTTCAACCATTATGCTACGCTGGCTCTCATTTACATACATTTCTATAAAACCAATCATCGTTATGAAGCAAAAAGAAAAAAGATGCATTTTATTTGTTTTTAACCAGTTTAGACATGCCATAGAAAATATTGCCTTAGAAATTATGTAAGAATTCATAAGAATTTCAAAGAATTTCTTATGTAAGAATTTCTTACAGAAATGAATGTAAAAGGAGAGATTTTCAGAGAGGCAGTCCACAAAAAAAGCCCTTGCATAAATTCACTGGGAGCATATTTTTATAAGTTTTTCAACCAATTAATCTAAACAATGCAGTCCTATATTTTATTCATTACTCACTAGCCAACTGAGAACACTGCAACTTTTCTTCATAACAAAATAGGGAAAGGTGATTTTGACTAAGGCTGTAATTCAAGGTACCCTTATCTGGGAGTAACCCTCATTGGAAGTTACTTCCCAGTAAAAGCAGGCTTTTGCTGTTAATCACCCATTGAAACCAACAGAACAAAATGTCTGATATTGCTGATTAATTTAATTCAACTGATTTTAAATGGATTTAAACAACAATCCTCTCCATATTTACTTAGAACTCCTCTGGCCAAAATTGTAACGTAACTGCTGATGAACAAGTCCACAAAGCCAGTAGGATTGAGTGGCTTGCAAACAACTGGGCTGCCAGACCCGGTTAATTTGAGCTGGAACAAAGCCATTACATTTTAAACAAAGAAACTAATCTATCATGGTATTAGAAATACTTTCCGAAGAAACATATCTGACTACAGACAATTATTGTGTCTCATTTAAGGATACTCTAAGTATACCTTCACAACCAGAGATAAGTTATATTAGCCTTGCTGTTTCAGACAGGTTTAAGAATCCCATTTTTATTTCCTTAGCAGTTAAAGTTTCCTTCAAGTGAAATTCAAGTCCTGCTGGCTTTATCAGTCTATAGTTTGTGTGGCAACAGTACTACTGTGATTTGCTACTGCCTTTTTCCAGGAGATAGATAGATAGATATCCCCACTCCATCCATGGAGGCAAGTAGGTGTATATATGCGTATAGCTGTATATACATATATTACTTCCAAGTTACGCCTCCTACACCCTGGTGTTTTCGGATGGACTACAAAGAACTAACCAGATCTAATACAGTATCTGTACCACAATAGTTGCAGCGATTCCTCGTAATCCGCAATATCCTTGATCAAGCCACAGCTGCAATTAGATGTTGACCCTCGCAGCAGCACTGAAATCCAAGTTGCCTCCTGGGAGTCCACCTGGGTCAGTCTCACCTACCGACATTGGAAGGGCCTTAAAACCATGAAGAGGCTACCCTATCTGGGCTACAGAAATCCATTACAGGGCAGCAGAGACTTGGACAGCAAAAGCTGCAAGCGTCATTTCTAAATGCTTCAAACCTGCATATAAAGTTGCAAAACCAAAAGCAAAACACCACTAGTAACAAAACCCCAAACAGCTGACTGCTCCAAAGTTGCCAAATCTCTCATTTCTGTGTCCAAACCCTCAATGTGGGAAAGTTGCAAGTTTTGAGAGAGTGAGAGTGACCAGCAGCATGATGGATTGGAAAACAGCAAAAGGGCAAGGAAATAAAAATAGTACAATACAGAGGAAGGAAAAGTAAATACACGTTGCATTTCCTACGTTCTTTTTTCATTTCCTATTGAGAGGAAAACAAGACGAATCTGATGTCCAAAGCCCACCGTAGAAAAAAAGGGGGGCAGGTTACCTGGGACTACCCTAAAAGTGACCCTGACGCTTATGGGGGCAGAGAGCAAGATTGTCCATTGGAAAACTGGTCCGTGGGGAAACCTGCGCGTGGGAAAGCGAGACGCGGGCTGGGTCCCTGAAGGCTCCATGTTGAGCCCCCGCAAAACCTAAGACCAGCGGTGGCGCCACCCCACGCGCTTTATATCCTTTGGCGGGACTGTATTCAAACTGCGCGCATTTCCTCCCGGGTTCTTGGCCGGCGCGTGGATCCACCTTTCTGGGAAAAAAAAGAGAC